TATACGTACAACCAAAAAAAGATTTTGTATTTCTATAAGTGGGGTAAAACTATGGAATAATTTAAGTGTGGACTTAAACAATAGTAATAGAATTGACGAGTTTAAACATAAATATAAAGGTATGTGTCAATCAAGATATATGCAAGAACAGGCTCAATGATTAATCAGGTGTAACATTGTGGGTGTGGTGTAAGAATGTTAATACTAATATTTCTACTTGTGTGATGTAGAAGATAATTATCAAAGCATGTTATTATGTAAGAATGTTAACAGTCTGTAATATTTTTTAGTATATTACTTGTGTGGTGTAGAAGAGAATTATCTATGTAGAGATACTGCTTGCAAACCAATGATGGTAAGATGATGTCATGGGGTAGGACTGGATAAGTCTGACTTCTTCCTACTCCATTCAAGCATGTACTAGGTATAAGCACATTGATAATGTATTTGTGGATATGTGTAAAATTATGTGTGTTGACATATTGACTGTCTTTACATGTTTGAAAGAATAAATCAAATCAAATCAAATCAATGCTGTGATAGCTGTGTGATGTGTAACGAACCCCCCTGCCTGTGGGGTGTGTGTGTGCGCGCTGTGCAGAGCCAGCTTGGCAATAGAGCTGCACCATGATGTACAAGTACATGGTGCAGCGGTGGATAGGGAGGAGGGGAAGTGCACACCGGGTGTGGTGACGGACCTGCTGCCGATACATCCAGAGCCTGTGTTAAAGCACCCAGCACCTGGATCCAAACCAGCTGGCAGTTTGCTCTTTTGTCTCTCTATCTGTACTCCATTTTGTTTTTATATATTCACATACTATATCCATCTCTGTAGCTTCTCACTCATTTGTTTTTCTCCCACACATACAGTTCTCTGCTTTCCCATGTCTTCTCGCACTCCGCAGTGCTCCCTGACGTCCCACCTTATTTTTAAGTCTGTAAAACCTCCCACCTTCTTTGCATTTAGTGAAGGAGCTAACAATCTGCTGTCATTCAGAGTGCACTGTGTAAAAGACCATCCCTCTGTAGGTCACCACCACTGCCACCATTGTCAACAGCATCAGCAGTAAGGCCGCGTTCAGACTGAGTTTCAAAGGTGTAAAAAAAAAAAATGCAGCCCTCTCCATTCAATTCTATGGGGGATTGTGTTATCTACCCTACCATCACTGCCAGTACCATTCTGTCCAGTGGGGCTGACCCCATAGTCATAATCTGCTCTCCTATTAATCTTCTCAACTAAAGGACCTTTCCTCAGCTAAGCTCACATTTCCCTGGATGTCTAAGTCACACTTTTCATCAGGTCTCTGTATGTATAGAAATCTGATAAATATCAGCCGTCTTTGTTCCCATCAGTTTTTTTACAATTGTGTATTTGTCAAGGCATCAATATATTTGATGAATATTGAAATATGCTTCCTCTCTACATTTTCTGTATGCCTGATTACTGAAGTTCTGTTCAGTAATCAGTCAGCAATTAATGAGCACAGCTGGCTGGCAGATGACCACCGAGTCTGCCTCTGCTAGTTGACTCTCACTACAGCACACAGAGACGAATGAGGGACCAGTAACTCTTACCAGTGCTATACTGGGGGCCATAACAGCCAGTTCAGTATGGATATCCTGATGCAATTATTAGTTGTTGTGTCAGATGTTTGGCTGACAGTGTGGTGACTTAACTAAACTCTGTGAATCAAAAAGCTAATAATAAAATGTGAAGGAAAGCAAACCGAGTCTGGATAGAGTCATGTGAAATCAGACTGACGTAGGTGCTGACTCAGCAATACAACAGCAGGCTAATGATAAGCTGGAACAGCTTTATACATCATGTCCTACAGACACAAAGTCAAAGTAATAAGCTGAAGACAAGCCAAGATTTTAACTTCTGTTGCTACTTTCATGGGAATTAAAGCAGTACACTCTCAATGAAGGGCAAATGAGAACGAATGTAGGAAAGAACAGAAGTGGTTCACAGGTTTCAGTGTTTGTGCTCGATTTTCTGAGCCAAAGACCAAGACATTATGGAAACAGGGAGATTCAATCAGACACAACTTAGCACCGCAGCACGGAAACTGCAGAGTAGTGTTGCTTTCGTCAACGAAAATTATGACTAAATATCGTCGTCAACGAACCTTTATCGCGTGACAAAAACGAGATGAGACGTAACGAAAATGCTGGTCGTGTGACGATGACTATAATTAAATGTATAATGCAATATTGTTGACGAAAAAACGAGACTAAATGTGGTTCACAAAATAAAAACTATGCCAAAATGTCTCTTCATTTTTGTTGACCAAAACGAGACGAAACGAAATGTTATGTTATTTCGTCTCATTCAGTCGTGTTATTATTATTATTTTGCAGTATTTCTGTTTCCTGTCTCACTTCAGGGGCCACATCAAGCCGCACTGCGCAGACACAGGTGATGTCACTTCCTTAAGCCCCATTCGCGGCATTATTTAGAAGACGACAACAAACAAAGTTAAGTCTGACACAGAGAAAGGGACCGATGGCTGGCCAGCTGGGGTTCGTCATTGGGGGGGAAAGAAGCAACAACATTTGGAAAAACTTTAATTACATAGAAGTGGAAAAGAAAACAATGTGTTGTGGAAAAAGATGGGGAGAAATGTGGCCACAAAATCACACAAAATGTGTATTGGATGTATTCTTGATCTATAAGGTAACAATAATATAATAAGATAACCCTGTTTGAAATGGGTTTGGCTCAAAGAAACGTTTGGTTTCCTCTACACTACTAGGTACTTATACTATATTGACTAGGTTAAATAGAATTGCATTGCTAAAAAGAGACTAAAATACAGTTTTCGTCGACTGAAACTAGACTAGACCAAAAAGAGTATGAATGTGACTAAAACTAATAAAAACTAAAATGACAGCTTCACACCAAGACTAGACTAAAACTAAAATGAAAACACCAAAAACAACTCTACTGCGGAGCCACTAGGAACAACAACCGTTTTCCCTGTCCTCACTGCACATTATGT